GATTGGGCTGGTGGACGCCGGGGCATTTTAGGCTTTTACGGTTTTCAGGGTTTTTAAATTTAGTTTTCGTTTTTTTTTGGGGGGGGGTATTTTGGGTTTTTCTATGTTCTGTATGTTCTTCAGGTTCGTTTTTGGGTGCTTGCCGAAGTACAAAGTATAGGGCCACCTTGCGCGGGGTCTATATCCGGACCAGCCTCCATCGAACCCACCCTCCCCTGTTGGGCCCCGCGCCGGCGTTCGTCCAGGGCAGGGCGCCAGGACGCCGTCATGCCCGCGGACCGGCAAGCGCCGGTCGTGGGCGGAGGGCCGCCCCTGGCCCTGCTGCTGGAGGCCGCCCACAGATCGGCGACGGCGGGCATTGGCCGATGGGTTGACCTGATGGGGAACCGCCTGGGCGACGGGCTGGCCTCCCTGAGGCGGCGGGTGGACGAGATTCGAGACCGCGTGCCACTGCTGCGCATCCTGGACGGAGCGGGGATGGGCGGAAGGATGGCCGTGCGGGGGCTGAACACGGCGGTGAGAGGGGGCTCGCTGAAATCGACCCATTGAAAGTGGCATTGCATCCAGTGCTTTTCCTGTTGGAGAATGCCGGCTTGTTGGAATTCTTCTTGTGGGCCTTGTTTGTTGTTTTCTTGTTTGTGTGTCGTATTCTGCTGCAACACGATTTGGAGCGAAACTGTGGCTTACGCAGTCCAAACAGAGCACATCTGCACATGTGCCAAGTGCCTCGTTGGCTGTGGGTCATGGTAAGAGGGAGGTGGGCACTGTGTGACATATTTTCCTTCCTGCTGAAATGAAAGTCTTATCAGGCAGCAGACCGCTGTCAGACCGCATGCAGCAAGCTAGAGGCAGAACAGTGGTTCTTCATATTGCCGAACGAGTGAATGAAGGCACACATGTGAGTTACTGAAAGCACCCATTGAAACAACATTACCATCGAAGTGGCGATCAGGGCAAGCGTCTCATCTAATCCTAAAATGAGACACTTTGCCCTGATCATATTCATACCCTCATCAATCTCTGATCATACAACAGCAACGATTTCAAACGTCTTACAGGGACCTCACAATGCTTGGAAGGACACAATCTTGGCTGTAGACGATGATGCAGAAGCCTCTAGGCGTTGCAGAAGTGTTGCTGTTGTAGAACAGGAAACAGGAAAACAGCAACAGCTGAAAATGGGTGCTGTTGGGTCAGCAGGGTGCTTGATTGTCGCTGTGTGCGTGTGACGCAGTCCATGAGCTTTTGCCAGGGCAGCAGGAGGGGCCCACAGCCTGTGTTCGACTTGGCCATGGATCCCGATGAACTGAAGGCTCGCATATCCACGATCCCCATCTACACCGTGGCCAACAACAAGAACGAGTTCGTCCTTGTGTCTGCAGAGGTACCAAAAAGGTGGTCTTCTTAACTGAAAAGAAATGCCACCCAGTGTGAAAATGATGTAAAGAAGTACAGGTGAAGAACATACATTGTGTCTGAAAATTGTTTGAAGATGCTGTGCATGTCACATTTTGTGGGATTTTTCTGTTAATATCCATCCTCTACAGATTTGCAATAATCAAATGGCACAGCACGACTCATTCGCTTGGTCTGCGATGGCAAGATCTGTTCTGATCAGTGAAAAGTTGTCACATATTGTCGACAGCTGCTCTGTGCTGTCAAGCACCCCTGAGGGCTGCTGTATGGCCAGAAAGAACTGAAAGAATCACTTTTTTACAAAAGAGGAAAAGAGCAACAGCATGTTGTGCACCAGTCCCAGATATTCTGAGGGTCCTAACCCATTGCCATTTTAAACTCAATTGTGGCACCAAAACCTGCCAATGGCACATAGTCAAATTATTGCACTCCACAACAGTGCCCCAGGAATGCTTGTCCTACGGCATCCCTCTGACCTGGTCATCCCAACACTGATTGACAAGCACAAGGAATTCCTCTAGGGCCCTGCAGCTCTTGTCCATGCTGCACGAGTTGATCCAGAGGGCAGCACAAAGGAAGGCGGTCTTTGAAGTGATGGACTCTGATTAAGATGGTGTTCGGTCTTTACTGATGGTCCATCTAGATGGAGCAAAAGCCTGCAATGCAATGCGCATTCCCCCTACACCCACCCCCCTACCCTCCACCACTCCCACCCCCACCCTCTACCCACCCTGGAGCAAGAATGCTTTTCATCTTGTTGCAGGAGATCATGCACAAGTCCTGGGCAACTGCACCATACAGCAAAAATGTGCTGCTTGCTGCCTTGTGTGTAAATTGCTGAGGAAATTAGCTGAGGCTGACATTGGTGCTTTCTGGAGGCCACAGCCCCCCTGTCACACCCATGAGGGAACGCCACGCGGGAATGCCCAATTGGTGCACTTGCAGCCTTGTCACATGAATGCAAAAGGCAACATGTTGGCCATTGCTGTTGCCCAGGGACAGAGGCAGGTTGGACTGTTGTTCTTGTCAGAGGAAGGTGCTTACGGACTTGTTGACAAGGTATGTCATCACCTCAAGTGGGGATAAATTCAGAGATAAGAACCTGTGCACTGAGAGATGAGCCCATGGCCGGGCAGGGAGCGTGCGGTGCTCTACTGGCTTCAATACTACAAGCGTGCAAATTCTGTCAATGTCATTTGCTGGATTGTGGTAAAGAGCTCTGCTTGCAGCTCCAAGGCAATGTTTCCAAGTCTTCATCCACAGTGTTGCAGAGGGATTATCCTGCACCAACACTTCAAAAGAGTTTGGAGTCTCAAAAATGAAGTGCACGTGTCACCACAAGATTGATTCTGTACAGATGCGGACCAGCCATGTGGACCTGTGGAGGGCATGACATTTCTAAGTGGAGACTCAGGTGTTTCTGCAGCTGTTGCAGCTGAAATCGTGTCTAAAACATGTTCACCACAATAGATATCTTCACTTTGCATCAAGCCTGACAGCACCACAGAGCACACTTGAAATATCTGACCTCCCTGGTTTCCAAAATACAGCCACAGGCGACTGTTATGAAAGCAGGATGCCTGCACTTACTATCTCTATGGAGAGCGCCCCTGCCTTCCCCACCTCTGCACAAATGTGACCTTGCCACTGAAGTGGGTTGCAGCATCTAAACAGGCGCAAAAGTTCAAGATATAGGTCACAGAATCAATGCAGAAATAAATGAAATAGGAGATAGAAAATAGCGCTGTTGCAAATTGCGAGAGCTGAAGTATGTATTTGATTTTACAAAAGCAATATCCATAATGGCAAGTTGGTAAAAGGTCAAAATGCCAACGATGAGAAGGAAAGAAATATTTAAGGACTATTAAGAAAAGGAAAAGATATAAAGAGGGAAAGTGAACTTTTTTATTCATTTGGTTTAGTTGGTCACGTGGCCACTTTGGCTGAAAGGATGGTGTCAACTTCTGGCAAATGTCATATGATCTGGGCAACAAATCAACACCGTCTGGATTCCTGTCGCGATGGAACACAGATGAAGAAAGTCAACCCTAGCATGGGCCGCAACTCTAAGGTGCTGAGGGTCATGCTGGACGATGTGTATGACCTGCTGACCACACCAAAGAAGGAACTGCAGGTTGGTGGAATAAGATGCCTTAGCGAATGCTTTGCACAGTGTCAAACTGGTGGCCACTCCAGACAGGGAACTGCCTGTTGGTGATGAAGGTCTGGCTGTGTGATAGCTGGTGAATTTCACTGTAAGGTGTTCTTCTAGAACAGTGCTTAGGCACTCAGAGAGTGGTGGAGGGTGGGGAGTGGAGAAGTGAATATTTAGCATACTATTGGCAATAGTAGTCGTGGTGAAAATGGTGTCAAAATGTGGATACGATTGCACACTGCACATTTTGGTTTTGTTGTACATGTTTTACACTACAAGCGTGCAGTTTTTTCCACAACTTAGACTGCTCAACACGAGCAGCAATTGTGTTGCACTGCCAGATGGTGCCAGTGAATCGGGTACAAGCAACAGTTCAGAAGTGGGTGACAAGTTGCCGCTTAGCTGTTGCTTGACCCTACTCTAAGCTTTTAGAATGTGAATATGGCCTGGAGTTGTGGACCTTGGTTGTATCCTTGCCATGGGGTTATTGGAGACTCATGGATGCACTCTATTGTACTCCATAACTTTGGCTTGAAAGTGAGACTGTACCATTTGTTCGCATTGCTGCACATCTATTGACAATTTCAACATTGCGAGCAGTTACTATCCAAGCAACTTTCTCTGCATCGATGTCGTGGCTTCCTTCAGTTTCATATTGCATATTTTCATCTTGCATATCCTGTTGCTGGCCCCATGTTCATTGGTCTTGCATCAACATGTGGATTAACATGGTGTGACATCAAGGTGGTACTCACCACCATGATTGGTGCCAACTTGTTGGATAGATGCGGCTGAAGATGAGCCTGTCAATGAGCAAAAACCACAACTACCACAGCCATACGTTCATGTGCGCTTTCTGTTTATTTTTGGGGAGCAGAGTCGATTAGTGAACGCACATCATCGATGTAACTAGGAAAATGACTATAAGCAGGCTTGTTGTTTATGTTCACGGCAGCAATTTTACATTGACATTGTTACACATAAATATGCATGGGCACAGAAACAGCTATTTTTACAGGCATAGTTGCATATTTTTATGGTGTGCGTTACATGATGAAGTCGCAAACACTGATCAGTGCTCCCCCCCCTTGTGGGAGCACCCACAACACAGCATCCGCCTCACCCTCGATGCAACGACGTCATCGAACAAAAGGTCGTCCTCTGCTCGCTCCAGGCCATCTGGATGCCCCTCCCCAGACTCCTGGAGCCTGGCTGTACTGCCTTTGTGTACACCAGGCCTGTAATAATGCATTTTGCGTGCTTTTTCATGCAAAGACATAAATACATGCTATGCTTACGCCATAGACAACAAGTTTGATTGTATGCCCATGTGTAATACGATGCAGGGTGCAGTCTTCCGATTTGTGCCAGATATGAAGCAGGTGGCCAATGCCCTTGAGGTACGGCCTCCATAGTAACCCACTGGTGCCTCCATGTGCAGCTTCCCCCAGCCAGCGTCGATGTGTTTATTGCATTAATGTGGTGTACAGCTTGCACTTGGTTGCATCCAGGCCCCTTCGAGGGTATTAGGTACATGATTGTGATCAGCCTTAACAAAGGGTGCCCATGGATAGTTGTATAGTCTCTGCTCATATTGATTGTATGTGAAGGACTTCACAATGAGGATGTTCACTGTTTCCTCAAAGCTGCTGCGTGGCCAAGTGGTGCTTCACTTCGATTGCTGGGTTTAAGGGACGAAAATTGTTGCGTTTACTAAATACCTTGCAGCTTCAGCAAACAGCTGGCATCAATTATAGATGCCCAAAGTAAGGATGACGATGATAACAATCGTAACATGATAACGCTACCAACAATAGCGGGTGCCTATTCAAATACATTGTAAGGTCATGTGCACAATTTCTGTTTTGTCCTATGGTTTCAGGGAGCTTCAAGTGCAGTTGTGTGGAACCTGTTAAAAGGTTGCTTGTTCCCAACTTCCTTCTTGAGATTGATAGTGGAGGAGCCAATATTGGTTGCCACAGTGCACCCACTGGATTGGATTTGATGGCTCAGAGATTGGCCCTGTTGGCTTCAGCTATTTGGTTCATAAGAATCCGCAAAGTTTTGATACCATCTGACAGGTTGTCTTTCATGTCCCCAACATGGATGCTCACCCCTGATTGCTTCACTATTACAACCTAAGAGCTGAGCGAAAAGAAAACACTGAACAGGATAGGGGCAGCCTTTTCACCCTGAAACTTGGGCAATGTAAAGGGCAGTGCAGACTGCAAGCTGAAGCTGCCAGGAGTGCTGTGCACCAAAGTCCTTTGGGGCTTCACCCATGCCTACTGTTTCCTGCAGCAAGCTACCCTTCCCCCAATCAAGTCACCTTGTCATCAATGAGCTCTGCTTTGGTACTGAGCCTATGTATAGCTGGAATAGACTCATGAACAGTTTCTGGGACATCGAGCTTTTCCTATTGTTTGCTGCACTATAGGCACTGTGATTTTTTGGTTTTCAAGTGCCATATTGCCGAATCTTGAGTGGTTGATGGATTGATCGATTAAGTGTATGAATTTGTGTATTTTTCTGGTCACCCAAGGTGTACCAATCTGCAGGTGTGCCAACACGCGCCATCACTGGCGTACCAGTCTTCCAAGCTGAAGGTCTCAGCATTACCACGGACTCATCAGTAAGCTCAGCACACTCGTGTGTTCACTGGACAGCATTTTTTGTGCAGATGCTATTCATACATTTAATACGTTGTAGCATTGTGACCAGTGATTGGATAATCTAATAGCAGTCTTACATATCTACAATAATGCTGTTGGCTAGATTCTTGGCGGTTTCAGCACCTTCAGCTGATGGAACAGACAGCTGGCTGCTGGGACAGACACTGTGGTGAAGCATTGTCAAGATGGTGATGGCAGGTGGCAAAAACCCAGTAGTGTGCGCATGTGAACAGAAGCTGTGCAGGCTGTTAGAGGCATTGCCAAGGGCCTGGCGTTGTAGTTGGGCACATGCTTCATTACTCAACAGTATAGCAAAGCAGTTCCCCTGCAGGTGACAGCCTGTGTGAGTGCCTGTGAAGCAGTTGTTGTGGAAAGCGTCTGCCGCACCACTTCGAACGCCTGGATGCTACGATTCATTACTGAGCAGAGAATGCTAGTCGCACTGGCCAGCATCTGTGCTGGTGGTATTGAGCTGCTGCACAGTTGCTTGTTGGGATGCTTGCTTTGGTTGCAATTGCCACCTGTTACAAGACACTGGCATCGAGCCTTGCAGCCAACAAAGGTTGTGTATCGCACCCAGTTGTGGCTGTTGCAGATGCAAAATGACCATTTTGCTCGCTATGAATCCTTGCATAAATTCAGTGAGACTTCTTAAATTCGTATGCTAATAGTGCAAACAGGACTGAATGTGGCTCAAATGGTGTATAGTCCATCGTCTTTTGGGTGCCATTTTCACCAGCATTGTGTTCACGGGTGAATTATGGAATCCAATGCTAATGCTGACTATTTTGAATAGTTGTTGCCTACCATTATTATGTGGCTATTGCATTAGTGCATGGATACGAGCGCCTTTGCATCTTCTCACTCTTGCTCCCACTAAGACAGCTCTGTGCCACTGCCACATGGCGTGGATGCAGCGCACGAGTCTGTGGCATGTATGGTGCCTTGTTCGTGCTGTGGTGCATTGTGCCCCTCCCCTTTTCCTTGCGAAATTACTGATTCCTGCTCTCTCCAGCGCTCAACGCCCATATTTTTGAGCAAGGACGACCTCGACGTTGCGGTCGAAACCGCCCAGAAGATGCGAGTGCAGCGGCTGGAGAATCAGCTCCAGGCGGTGGCTGAGCAGTTCGATGCAGAAGCGGCCGAGGCCCTCAGCAAGGCTGAGAACGGGGACAAGAACGATGCCAAGAAGTGGAAGGCGGCGGCTGCGAAAGCGGAGGGAAAGGCAGCCGAAGCCAGGAAGAAAATGGCAGACAAATCTGTTCTTGGAACCCGGCCACGGGTTGAGGTGAGTCCCTGATCAGCTGACGGTTTTTGAACTGAATGGATGTCATATTGCCAATGTCAGGTCAACACATAGTTTGCCTCCATAATTTTGTTACGGGATGTTTATCAGTTCCCCTCCTCTAGCAAGGTGTGGTGTGCAGTACACATGACAACAGGGTGCACAAGGACTTGGTACAATCGCAAATCCACGAATATTGGTGCTAACAGCAACTCGTTGCTCGTCAAGCTTGCATCTACACATTTCCTTTACGTTTGTGGAGCAATCGCAAATCCACGAATATTGGTGCTAACAGCAACTCGTTGCTCGTCAAGCTTGCATCTACACATTTCCTTTACGTTTGTGGAGCATGGGTGATGTGAAGAGGCGATGTGGTGTTGCAGTAGCTGAAAAATGCAAGAGTCGACAACAGCCGCTGTCAGCCTGCAGGCTTTCTTCAAAGAATTTCTGTGTTGAACCAGAGCACTGTTGGCTGTGCCATGCAGGTGGGCAGTCTAGAGGATGTCATCAGCAGGATGGAGTGTGACACGACGGGCACTTGGGGAAACGTGACATTCGTTCGGTCAGGCATCATTGCCGATCCCGACGGGGGCATTGGCACTGCAAAGAAAAGCTGAGGTTGCATTGTGGAGCAGATCAAGATGCACGACTTGCGCCTGTGCGCAGAGCACCGCTGTATGTTGACATGTTTCACATACAACAACTGGGTATGTTGTCCTCACGTTGTGGTGCTAACTTCTGCTTTGATTGATCATGCAACACAGGATAGACTCTGCCTTGCAGATGCAAGGCGATGGGTTGAACTTTTGCATCCGCATTCCTCTTGCCCAGAATTTTCATGACTGAACATGTCCACATCATGTGCAGACAGTTGAAAAGGGCAACTAGGGAAACCCCAATTGAATAAACGAAAATGAGGGCGACAGCCTCCAACAGAATAGGTACAGTGCATTAGCCGATGTTTTGCATAGTGCTTTGGACCGCACACGCACCGTTAACTCACAATGTTCTGAGTTTGCCTGCCCCCCCCCCCTCCCCTCCCTCCCCCCTTCCCCTCCGCTATTGTTTCCATCCTGATCCCCACGTCGTATTCAGCACAATGTTGATGAAAGATACCCCACCTCTTCCATAGCCATTTTGTATCCAACTTCACTGCCGTGTCTAGGAATCGTGACTACGGCTAGGCACTGGTAGTAAGGCCCTCATCCCCCACGCATGGCTTCGCAGCAGTGACCCCTAGACCATGCAGCAGTCGAGTCGCTTGTGAGTTTTGGGAATTGGCAACTGGGAAGCCGCACACCTCACCCTTGTTCCGTGAATTGATGGAGGTGAAGAAAAATAGTCTCCCAAAAGATAGCTGGGATGGAAGCATAACGGATAGAAACAGCAAAATTGAAACGGATTTCATCTGCATGGATGGCAAGTCCAGAGCTTGTCAAACTTTGGTGCATGTTGGCTATCACAAGCCAGTGCTGGCCGCCTTTTCTGGCCACCTTTCCAAATTACCCTTCTGTGAGTTCCATCGCCTTTCCGATGTCGCTTGGCATTTGCCCATAGTTAAACCAATTCGTTGTCATGTGGCGTGGCTGCTCTGCATGCGTCGCCAGTGCAAAGCCGACGAAATGAATGGGCCCACAATGCTACCATGGTATGATATATGGGGGTGCTGTGCTTCGCGTGTGGGCAAGCAACCCCCAGAACGAAAGGCTGCATCCTTGCACCCCAACCATCCGCAGTGCCCGTCACGGGGATGTATGCCGAAGTAAAATCGCGACATTCGCAGATGATGAGCGCCTCCTTCTGTCACGGGCAAACTTTGGGGCAGCTTGGCGTTGCGCTGCCACAAACAGACGTCAACCGTGCTGCCGCCGCAGAGAACTGCAGCTGCTGGCGGCGCCCAGTCCCACAAGACAGCAAACTTTTGCAGCCGCAACAAAAATGTCAACCCCGCACCCAACGCTCCCCCTTTTGGACCAGAACAGCGAACAAACCAAGGGCGGTACTGTGTGCAAACAAACCAAACAAGGGCGGTACAAAAAAACATTCTGGACAAAAAAAACGAAACAAACCAAGAACAGCACGGCCATCCTGCCTGACCCTGTTGGCGCTGGACGCTGCCCTTTGACGCGCCTCCCGCACACGCGCGCCAGAGGTCGCGCCTTCCGCGCCCCTCTCGGCGCGGCCACGCCCCACGCGCCCGACATCCCCCATGCACCCCGCCCTCCTCCTCTCCGCGGCCATTCCTCTGCTCGGCCTCGCAGGCGTCGCCGCGTCGGGCCCCGCCTGCCCGGCGCAGGTCGTCAGGGTCACCACAGAGGATGGCAGGGTGTTCTTCGGCATCCCTGCCGCTTTCGGGCCCCTGCCCGACTCTGGGCTTGGCTCGCCGTCGGGCATCGCCCTGGCCGATCCCCGGCTGGCCTGCAGCCCGGTGACCCTCAGCCGATCGGGATTCCAGCGATTGGTCGTGGTCGTCCAACGCGGGGAGTGCGCCGCGACGGTGAAGGCCAGGATGGCGCAGGAGGCGGGCGCCGCGGCCGTGCTTATGTTCGACAATCGCACGGGAGCGGGCCCCACCTGCATGATCGCTGGGGATGAGGATTCTGCCTCTGGGCTTGGCATACCGTTCGCGTCCCTGGGCGAGGTGGCGGGGGCGGAGCTGGTGAGGGAAGCGGGCGGCGGCGGGAGGGTGAGGATCGATGTCCTGGCGCCGCACAGGCTGACGAGCGCCGTCGCCCTGTGGGCGATCGCGGTGGCGTCGGTGGCCGGGGGGGCGCTGTGGGCCGGGCGCGACCACCGCGATGCGCGGGACGGGCGGCCGAAGCCGGACCAGCTGAATGGCGGCTCGCCGGGCGGGCACTACATCATCACGGAGCGCGCGGCGGTGGCCTTTGTGGCCATGGCGTCCGTGGCCCTGGTGGTCCTGTTCTTCGCCATGGGCGCCGTGGTGTACTACATCCTGCTGGGCGTGTTCTGCCTCCTAGCCGTAGAGTCCCTGTGCGTCGCCCTGGGTGCCGCCATAAATCGGGCAGCTCCCGCCCTGAGGCGTCGCACGGCCCAGGTGCCCTGCCTGGGCGAGGTCCAGCTGTCCCAACTGTTCGCCCTGCCGGCTGCCGTGTGCATCGCTACTGCCTGGGCCATTTTCAGGAATTCCTCGTGGGGCTGGGCGCTCCAGGACGGAATCGGGCTCTCCCTAATGCTGCTGGCCCTCAGGCTGGTGAAGATCCCCAACCTGAAGGTGGGGACCATCCTGCTGACGCTCTTCCTGGCCTACGACGTGTTCTGGGTGTTCATCCAGCCACTGCTCATCCCGAAACGCGGCAGCCTGATGGTGGACGTGGCCACTGCAAGCGGGCTGGATGAGTACATGCCCATGGTGTTCCGAGTGCCCAGCATCTGGGACCCCGCCGCGGGGGAGTACAGTATCCTCGGCTACGGGGATGTGCTGCTGCCGGGCATCCTGGTTGCCTACACCCGCAGGTGGGTAGATAGTGGACCGACTTGGCGATCTGCTTGTATGGAACGGGAAAAGAACTTTGTGCAGGTGTTCGCGCTTCACATAACCTGCTTGGCAACGAGAAGAGAAGCACAGGGGGGGAGTCGAGTCTTTTCCCCTCTCACCCTCAATCATCTGCAGTTTGGGCTTATGGAGAGCAAAGAGCAATACTGTTGAAGAATCCATGTGGATGGAAGGAACCATACCGCCGTCGCCTGCAAGGTGGCCTGCTTGTCTTTTAAAGGCTGTTCAAGTAGCAGATACCAGCCTAGGGTGCAGAAGGGCAGTGTCTTTGCCATGTTTTGGCAGGCATAGTCCAACACATCTTCTGTTGCACACAGGGTGGACATCGACCTGAACAAGGCCCCAGCCAATGGTTACTTTCCCTACACATGCCTGGCCTATGGCCTGGGACTAATCGCCACCTACGGGGCGCAGTACCTTCGGGTGGGGGGCAGCCGGGGGCAGCCCGCTCTGCTGTACTTGGTGCCCTTCACGCTGGGCACAGTGTTGCTGCTGTCTTGGAGGAGGCGGGAGAGCCTGATGAGCCACGGGAGGTGGGCAGAAGAGTGGGGTCGGGGGAGCGATGAGGACGAGGGGGAGCTGACCTCAGCAGGGTCTCGATCAGGGAGTGTCGTGAATGGGCGGCTTGCCTCTGGGGACCTTGGGGAGAGGGCTGCGCTGTTAGAAAGGACACCTGCTCAATCAATGGTGTAGCTGATGCAGATTGGCTCCATGAATGTAATCTCACAGGCGATGTGTGGAACGACACAATGTTCTTGGTACTCCACTGTGCTGCGCTCGGATGGTCAGACACCTTCAGCTCACTGGCGGCCCATGAGGGCCTTGCGGCACTTGTCAAACATGCACCAGGGTTGGTTCTTCAAGTTTCGGATGCAGATCGCGATCTAAAACAGAGCTAAACCCACTTCATCAATTAGGAAAGAAAGGAAATTGAAATTGTGGAGATTTGGTGTTTAAATAGAGCAGGAAAATTACAAGAAAACATACAGGGATTGCTTGGGTAACACAAGTACAGAGCACAGGTGATGTTACTTGTGCTGTATCGGTGCCACATCACCAGTTAATTCCGTTTGGTGGGATGTGGATCAAGCACCTATCCTGGATTGCCACCTATGTTGACGAAAGATATTACTCATCCGAAGATAGCATATCGTCAATGCCTCTGAGTATGCCCTGTCCAAGGCAGGTTGTGTATGCAACCGCTGGCTCAAGGGGTGTGGGTCAGGTGCGAGCAAGCTGTGATGACGTGGCTCTGCATAGCCACAGAAGAGGGGTGATGGCATGCTGGCACTACCTAGGTATTGTGAAGATTGCAACTCTTATTGGTTGTGTATCTGCCTTCTCCGTCTCAAAATTTGCACCTTTTTCTGGGTGGGAGCGGTGATGCATGGGTCCACAGCATTGATTATCCTGGAGGATGATTGCATGTCGATGACAGCGTTGGTAAATGTTACATACCCTGGGTATCGAATAGGATATGGACGCGTTATGCTGTGTGTGCGCTCTTCTTATCCAGGACACAGGGCCTTCATATCCTGGATATGCATATGACGGCAGGATCTGGCCATAGCCAGGACCTGGGGCCCAAGTTGTGGCTATCTATATTCAGGATACGCAGCACTTTTCCGACATCTGAAACCATCTGCAGTTTTGTCTGGCTGCCAGCGTCCCACAGACCGCATCGTGGACGAGGGACGTGCTTTGGAGCTTGTTTCTTCAAGAGCCTTTGCGAAGAAGGGACGGCCACCCCCCAGTCCTCTTCTCCGCACCACAGAACTTCGCCACTCTTGCGCAACGTCCGACAAGGGGGAGGAGACAAGCCTACATTCAGCAGCATGACGACCGGAAACGGTGGTGTCTCCCATTCCCTCTGACAGCAAAGAATCACATGGCGCACATCATCAACTCAATGCGCACAGGCCCCTCGTCAACGAACTCTGTCAAAGTGCTTGACGTTTTCCTTGCTCGGTGCGGCCACCACACCGCAGTGGCTAGAATGCAGAGAAAGCGACGGCGTGGCGCCTCGCTTGGATGGGGGTGGGCAATCAGCGGTCCCAGAGCGTGTGAAGCTGAGAGAGAACCGTGGCGACACACATGCAAGCATTACCGGCGTCAAGCCGTCCCCAGCGTGTATCGAGTGCAATCCGCGACTGCACCATGCCATTAAAAACCCGTCTGCAGTGAGGCGCAACGCCAAGATGGCTGAAGGGCAGTGCGCCTGCCAACCGAACTTGACATTGACAGCCCACCCGCTGCTAATGCCCATGCACAAAAGGACACCAATGCTGCCAAGGACACCCCACTCCCGCTCAACCCTAAACGCCATTCTTGCCTAACACTCATTTTGTGTGGTCGCCTCGCAGCTTGTGACGACTCCCCCACAAGAAAACGCCCAACCTGTATAGTACATTGGCGTGCCAAAAATAATGAGGATCCCACCCTGCCGACATTCGAAGAATGCTGTGATTGGTTTTCCGACGTGGCTCGATTTCCGGTGTCGCATGATCACGCCGGAGCCAATGTTCCACAGCTTTCGAGCGCCGACGCTGACCCCTACCCACACGCGTCCGTACTTCGCCCGTGCGCCAGCGAGCCAGTGCTTCCCGTGGCTAGCGCGACACCCCTGCACACTCACAGCACATCACCGCTGCGATACGTCCCCCAAAGGGGATGCATCTTGGTCTGCGTGCGTCGCCGCCGCCCAAAACGGAACAAACCAGCAAAACAACACGGCGCGGCGTGGCAGATGGCACATCCCCATGCGCAAATTGTCTCTCCCTTCTTCCCCTAACAATGTCAGAAGTAACGGGACTTCCCCAATTCCAAATTCTCAAAAAGTCACAGAAACCGCCTTGATCAAAATAAATGTTGGCAAGGGGCTGCAACCCCCATTGGAGGTCGCGGATCAAATTCGCACCAAATAATTTTCAGCTGTCGCAGGGAACAGCCAAATCAGGCAAGGATGGATGGACGCGGCATTGGGCCCTGGGGACAACCCCACTGTCCGCATGGATTCCGTAGTGCGCCGGATGCCAAGCCCTGGAGTTCGAGGAGGGAGCGAACCGGTGTGAAAACACACTTGAAGGCTCTGATGGTGTGGGGTGGTGGACTGCTACGAGCTGGCGCCGGTGCAGTCGCTCCCGCTGTCCAGGTCTTCCTCCTTTGACGTTCGGACGACCAGTATGGTCAGGCCCATGACATCGGGGTAGAAAGGGTACGAGCGCACTATGGTCCGAGCTGCTTGCAAGCTGGACAGGATCTGCGAAATCGACAACCCATAAGCAAGCAAGGGGTATTCAGTGACCAAGGATGGCAACGCAGCAACAGACAAATGGTTGCTTGGCAGCCAGCAGCCACCATTCAAAGGTGGTCAACATCGAAAGGCAGCTGCAGGCCAGGCCTTGAATAGTTTGCGGTAGGGAAGTCAGAGGATGTGGCGTTGAGGTCACGTCATCATCGAATGCACCTTACGTATCAGGATAAGTTGGGTGGCGTTACAGTCTCATTTGAAAAGGGCGGCTGATACAGCGAAAAAGTTGTGAAGCCACACCAAATGTCAAACAATGCTGACAGCACGACTCAATGAACAATGCAGAAGCAATGGTGGCTTCAGAATGTGCAGTGTGCAGTCAACACCCTAGATATGCATATGTCAATGTATTGAGCAACACGTCTTGGATCCCATTGTGTTGGGCTCCACACAGGCTGACACCAATGCATGCAAACACGATGCATTGGATATCCAACATTCCCAAACTGCCAACTTTCAGTCCATGCCATACACGACCTAAAGGCGCACAGCATCTTGTAGCATGCCGCCCACTGCTGGTGACAATGCAACACACGGTTGGTGTAGCGGACACGCCAGTCTGTCAATCCCTTGGAATGGTGTGCACACATGCAGATCATTGCATTCCTGTACTGAAAACGATCAGCAGATGCTGTGGGCTGGACTTGTGAGCATATGGTTGATCTTGTACACACGGAGATCGGATGGACAATTCACTGCACGACATGCTGCCTACAATGTATGCACTTTTCTTGTCCATTGGTCCGTTGCCTTTTCTGCTCTGCCACTCCACCATCGGAGATCTTTCTGAACCGCGCTCAGTAGGCAGAAAGTAAAGTCACCCATTTCTGCCAACAGCGCACGTTGTCTGAGTATATTTCTACTGATGCATTTCTCCTTTGACATGTTGCTGGGCCGAAACGTGACCATCCCCAAGAGTTCTAGCGAGTGGCACCACCACCCACATCACTTTCTGTCAGCTACATGGTCTGTCGACACACAGGCAAGGATAGTCTGGTACAACAGCAAGCTCATAACGGACCCACCATTGCGAAAAACGCGCCGCAAAGGTTGCTGTATTCATGGCGCTCCAAGTCCACAGTGTTCTTCAATTCCTGCATGACTTCGTCCATCTGCCACAATCACCAACACCCACTTGCAACATTTTCCATGGGAACATCAGTGACAGTGCATATATGCACCTCTGCAGTCAGGTTCATGGCTGTGTTGCTAGCAGTATTTGAATTCTTAACTGTGCTAGCACTGCCCACTGCTGCAATTCGGGACAGACTTGACATGCATCAGTCAGAATGGCTGCCATGCAGTAACACCAGCATGCCAATAACACACTAACATGTGTCTTGGGCAACAAGACAGCTCAGTTTCTTGAGACTAGGTAATCACAAAGGAATCACAGCAGGGGCAAATGGACACATTGTGCAAGGCACCAAAAAAAGCTGGAAGCAAACGATGTCACAGGACCGCACACAGCCAGAAGCAAGAGCATCGTTGAAATGTGAAGAGACAACCCACCTCCACAGTTGTCTTGGCGACTTTGTGCATCCCAATGCCAGGCACATACTCTCCCTCTGCCACAGACAGGTGGTCCTGCACCAAAAAGCACATGGTTCGAAAATGGGGAAGCAAGATTGGATTCTTATCTTGTGATAGGTGAGAATGAGCATTTTGAGGCAGTGCACTGTGGATACTGTGCATTGTCCTTCACTGCCAAGCTGGTCTCTGGGTAGGATTGATTAGCTCCGATGGACTTTATCAGTGGCACTCCACCACAGCGCAAGAGTGTGAGCCAGGCGGTGAGCGACCGCCACTAGTTGGGTGCTGCGGTCAGTCCTTCAACTGAACTCATCACAGCATGACAACAAATCGCCAATGCACCCTTTCAAGGCAAAGATAGGCATCATTCCATCCAAATTGCTTCAGAACATTTGTAGGGTATCAACACAACTGCAGCAAATCTCTCAATGCATGGACCGATCCACACACAAAGTTGCATTGTGACCGATCGGCCTGGGCAAATCACATACCCAGCACATTTCCACAGCATGCGTCTATACTTTGCACTAGTCTAGCTCCATCATTCTCAGATAAAACTAGACCAGAACAAAAACCAAAACATCAACTCCCCAAGAATTGATATGTTTGAGCGGCCCTACAGCTCTACCATCGCATACACAACCGCACACACAAGAAGCTGCATCAAAACCAACCAGCTTCCTTTCCATTCTGACTTCCAACAGCAAGGTGACATACAACAGAGACGCCTTGTTTAGGCTGTTGACAGCCCAGAGTCAAGCAAGTGAATGCTTGTGACGCTATCAAGAGCTGAAAGCAAAACTATGCAACACTCATCACGTCGCCGTCAGTGTGTTTGCAAGCAACAATACAGAATGCTACAGTTTGCAAGTTTCTAAGATCATGTTCTGTGAGTAGCATTCGCAATGTCTCACATAGACCATCTCATGCAAACAAACTGCCATTCCGTGTGATGCCAAATTTACGTTGGCACAAGCCACTGCTGTACTGTGTCATAAGCAATGGCATACTCGCTCATTAATGCATCGTCAGTTGGTGCAATCAAGACCGCAGACAGTACACATTGAGCACCTGCAACGACTTGTTCAGATGCTGCCGATTCTTTCTGATCCGCTGCATATTCGTCTGAAACTGGTGGTAGAGTGCCACAATCCTCTTCCGTTGTGAGGACGTCAACTCCAGGCCCCTCTGCAGCACAAGATCGTTTTTATTGTGTTGCTGCATCACAGTCTGACACTTCGTCCCGAAGTTTAGTGGTTTGTTCAAATCAGAGTACAGTTTGATATTAAAACATAGCAACGAAAAACATAGCAAGGAGCTCGCCACGTGTCCTGGGCTGAACATTGACTGCCCAAATCTAAGCAGCAGGCATCTGTGCTGTTGACTGCCCCAGACCCTGATAGGGCTCCATGCATCGATGTGCACCATGTGCCAGTGTGTATGGGTGGGACTGTATGGAATGCAGATGTGTCAATGGCAGGTGTGGGGTGGAGGGCAGTGATGGTGTGGGCAGGGAGGGGTGCTGCAACATATGCATATCATTTCCACTACTTTAGACGACTGAATGTGCCACCAGGTGTGTGTGAAGAGCTGTCAACCTCAGTTGTGGCGATTTTGAATTGTGGCTATCTCATGGGCTTTCAAATGCACCAAATCCATTCACAGCCTCAGTATTAGGGACAGAACTGCAATGGTCTCATGGCAATGCTGCCAAGAGCAACGCCAACCCCTGACACAGCTCCCCAACTTTCAGCACATGGGCAAGCAGCAACGCGGATAACATGGGACACGATAGCGGCATTCATTTGCCAAAGACGGGAATTCAAAGCAAGTATCCACAGGAGCAAATAACAGCACCCACCAGCAACCCTTCAGTGCTCTTTAGCGCTTCAGTTTCATCTGGCAGCTCTGTGCGCCCAAGTTCAAAGTTCCGGCCAACAAACATGGCCCCGTGCTCCGGTTTCAAAACCACCAGCTTAGCCAGCAATTCGCCCTGCAGGAGTGTGACAACAAGTTGTCAAAGGTTGCCACTAGTCTGTGCATTCCACACTCCCCAAAGTGTAGAGTTACATTAACAAAGCTTTCATACTGCAGACTTCTGTGTACAGAGTCCAAAACAGTTACTGATTGGCCTGAGCATGTCACCAGTGATGCTTTCAGCAACACTGACCATTTCCGTTGCGATTGCTACGGCCTGCCTCCAAACTTTGTCCCAGAGCTGTGGGGTTGGGCATTGGGATGAAGGCATGGGCACAATCTGTCCTGCAGGCAACATGTCTCTTTCTTGAGGCAACTGTTGTGTTGGAGTAGTTCTGCTGCTGTGCATTTCGGAATAGGTGCTGGCAGCACTTGGCTGTCCAAGGCATGGCTCGCTGGCAACTGACAACTTCATGCCATTGGCCTTCATCTCTGCTTTCTGAATATCCTTGTATGTGCCCGGGCTTAGATCGCTCTCCATCCTCCAGAGATGCCAATACAGAACGCGCGATGACAAGGGATTTATGGTGGCGTACAGGAACCACCATCAGACTATCACACTGCCAGACTTGCGAGCAGGACGAGTTGGGCAGAACATAGCTTGCTGATTCAGTTGAGGCTACATTCCTGTGCCAGGGATGTGGCTGCTCGCAGTGCTGCAAATTGCTGTATTCAGAACACAACAACAGCAGCAACAACACATTTCACTCAATTGTTTGGGCAAAGTGACGATGCCCAGAGTCAACGATATCCACAACAGTCAAGATCAGAATTCAACAGCAACAAAGCATGCCATACAGGACCATCCAATCACCACCAATCTATGGCCCCAATGACCCATTCCTAGGCCTTCAATGCAGGATTCAAAATTACAAGGAACCGCCATATTGTGGGCTTCAACAACACACTCTTAAATGTGTACAGTTTGAATGTACAGGGCTGCAATAAAAGGAATCTACAATTGTGTGTTCTTTTAGCACCAGCCTGCAGCAATTCTCTGCCTCAAGATGAGCTATACGGCCCAAGTGCAATTGTTCATGGGAAGCTGTGGTCCTACACAGGACAATCAGAGTGTGCCTTCGATAGCTGCAGGGAAATTTCATTGTATCTTGAGCCGATATCCAAATTTGCCGATGGGCTTAAAGCATAAGCTCACTGGTGGCAAAATGCACACATGGACAGCATTGCGCTGCTGCACATGCTTGTGTCGTGTGAGGCACACATTGGAAAATACTCTTGCACGCCTCTTTGTTCACAGGCTGTGCCAATTGTCTGTCACTTTGCCCTGTTCTATCACAACAAATTTTTAACAATGTTTATCGCATTTTGGGCAGGTACAAGGCTCCATTCGCAATTTGCAGGACGACCCACACACAAACTCTGGTGGAGGGCAAAGAATCACTATCAGCCTGTACAGTCTCCAGCACCAGGTCCCACCTGGTATGCCATGATCTTATGTATCTCTCCTTCCGCGTCTGGATTCCCTCCCGGCTTGTCCACCGAAATCAACAGCTCGGACAGGTTGTGCACATATTCCTTGTACTTCTGGCACACCTCATCCAGTGACATCTTCATCACCACTTCCGCGGTGTACGTGCTGGCAGACTCAACGGTGGCTAGGCCAAGAACTGCACGCATCGAGCACGGTGGGCAGGGCCCCACCTCCCCAGAGGGTGAATCATCATCCTTTGTCTGAATGGCAAACCAGGTGAATGGGCAACAAATAGGCAAAAGCAAAGGCCGAGGTTTTGCACCCTGAATGTTTTCAACACATAACAACCAACTGCTGCCGTTGAGCCCCATGGGGGCGATGTGACACGCTGTCCACAGCAACAAGCGCCTGTTCCAACAGTGATATTGTTCCATTCACCACTGGGCACCCCCGAGTACACAGCTGTTCTGCCCACAACAATGGCCGCTCTGCAAGGCTTGTGGCATGGCCACCATTCGCATGCAATAGGTGCTCAGCATGGTGAGAAAGTAAGGCTGATTTTGCCACACACATGCAGCTTTATCCCTCGCTTGTGCAGCTCATCATCTGCAACATTGAGTGACAATGTGATGGCTGCTGAATGTTTGCTGGCCGCATTTGGAAATCACAGCAATATCCTGGCATTTCCAAAAATTCAACAGTGTGCTGTAACTTGTCAGCATCGCGGGTCTATCAGCACAAAGCCAGCACCAGAGTCAATTCAATGCTCAAAGCGCTTTGCTGAAAGCTACAAGCCAGTCCTTCGTCAAGGCAATTTGTCTACGATCGGCGCCAAACATGAGGGTGTTGCAATGCCTGATCAGCTTGCAGCTTTCAACACAGAGCTCACAGCCTGGGTGCTCAGTCGCCAGCAACAGTGAGCGTTTCGGGCGGCTACCACACTTGCGCCAAATCTGAGATGCCATATGGGTACACCACAGCCATGGATCAGCAATAACAAACAGTGGACTGCACATACATGGGAGGCTGCAGCGGAGCTCCAATCTGTCATAGGGAGACAACCACACAACACAGAGCTGCCCACAACACATGGAAGCCATGAAACAAGTGCAAACATGATCTCCGCAAATCAACCCGAAATTCGGACTGAACGTCCACAACATAAACTGCTTTCTCCTGAGAATCAAGAAACAACTTCGCAAGGCGATGTTGGCAGAACCTGGCAGTTTAGAACTAGTTTCAGGCCTTGAGTAGACAGGTTTCTCAACCATGCCAGCATCCATCTCCTGCTGGCCATCAAGACCAGCAACCAGCCCTCTCTGGTAGGCCACAACACAGTGCAAGGCACCCACCTTCGCCTCGTGCCTCAAAACGTTCATCTGGCCCTCCTTCATGGCCAGCACCTTGGACAGCAGGTCGTTTTGATTCTGCAACGAGGACTTCTCCACCGCCAGCCTCTGGACCTGGGCGCTGAGCAGGTGCACCTGGTGCTCCAGGCCCGCCATCTTCGCCTGTGCCACCTCCCAAGTCAGCTGCCGCCGGCGTTGCGGAAGGCGCTCCGAAACCCGCCACGCGAGTCTCACACAACTGCCCCTTGGTTCAGATACCCAACACGGCCCCCACTCCGGCGCGGGTCCGTGCTTCGCGGACCTGTACGGAGGTCCACTGGCGCGGCGTGGCGACGCAACGCTCTGTCATGCTGACGATCAGCGCAACCTGAATGACGACGACGCATACGCGCCGCGCACAAACGACGCTGCAATCAACCGCCAACGCGCCCGTTCCAATCTCCCCAACAGGCAAACGGTGTCCGCCGGGTCCCTGACGGCTAGCGACCGCGAATCCCCACCACTCACACACCACCAGCGTGCAGCCCGGGCACTGCGCCGATCAACCAAACAAAGTGTGACTTCGATTCACCCCGACACCCACCCCACACCCCTCCACCACGACACCCTCCACGACCCCCGGCACCATCCACAGCTCCCCTCCTCCCCACCCGCCCCGCCCCGCCCCGCCCACCTTCTGCCGCTCCCTGAACTTCTTCTGATTCCTCCGGTTCTTCTCCAGCATGTCCTCCCGCTTCTTCGCCATCCACCCCTCCTTGTCCCCGGCCTCCCCCTTGTCCCCCCCAACCGCTCCCACGCCCTCCACCCCCTCCATCCCCACCCTACCATCGTCAAACTCCCCCAGCGACATCCGGGGCCCCCCGCCCGCCCACAGCCCCTCCTCCCCGATGCCCCGCACGGCCGGCGCGAGCCCAATCGGCCCCATGGCCTGCATCCCCCCGATCTGGTGCTGGAACCGGACCCCGGCTGCCGGCATCCCGCCCAGCCCGCCCGCCCCGCCCCGCCCGCTGCCCGTGGCAGCCGCCTGGCGCTGCATCGCCGCCATCGCCTCCTGCGGTCCCAGCATGGCGACCATCGTATCCAGCTCCTGGCTCTCGGTCATCGCGCCGGATAGGCCCCCCGCGGACGTGTCCATCTTCCGGAGGGCCGCGCCGCGGCGCCGCGCTCGGCGGTGTGTGCGCCTGCCGACCGCTGCCGACCGCTGCCGACCGCCGCTTACCGTACGCCTGTCGGCGGATGCGAGGTTTGACCCTCGCCCGCGCGCGTGGGAGGTTTGAGTTTCCCTGCAGCGCCCGGCGCGGGGCTGACGCCGGGAGACTCAGAGACGCGGTGCGCTGGTGCCCTGGTCGGTCATGGGGAGGGTTCGACGTTCATTAGTCAGGAGCATGGGCAGTGAGGCGAGGACGCGCAGATGGGGCTGGGTTGGCCGTACGGGATGCATTCGGCCTGGCGTGACTGTACTGTTGGCTCTTCTCCGCGTCCATGCCGCACTGGGCGGGTTGCGGGCTTCTTTGGGAGGCGGGTCGGTGGTTGGAACTTCACGCTGAGTTGGGGGTTCATTGGCTCTTTCTCTTTCGTCACGTGATGCATGACAGAAAGAGGGATTTTGAAGCCAGGGGGAACCCTCTGGTGAGTGTGGGACCCTCCCGTGAGTGTGGACCAGTTTTGCAGACGCCTGAAGGCGTTTGGGTGTGGGCGTCCATCGAGGATTGTGGTGGCCATCCCAGAAGCGTTGGCAGAAATTGCTGGTCAGAGGTTGGAAGGCGACTTGGCGCTCGGGAAAAGCCGATTGAAGGTAACCAGGTGGGAGTACACTCGGCCAAAGGCCACGAAGTGGATGCAAAAGTCTTGGAAAGAACGAGCGATGCACATGGCCCAGGAAAGACGAGAAGTTTCAGCTTACCACCATTCTCAGAAACTGTGCGGAACTTTGTGGTGATAGAGCTTTTGCTGCCAAAGCTGATCTGGATGTGGCAGCGGGGTCCTTTGCAGAGCCAAAAAGGTGTTTCTAATGCATGAGACAGCATGGAGCAGCTGCAAAGTCGAAGCAGCAAGCAGTGAAGACGGCATGCCCTGCAGCCTATCAATCTCATTGTTATGCTGTGGACGGAAGTTTGTTCTCCTTTTAATTTATTTTTTTGGGGGGTTGGGGGGTGGGGGGAGGGACCCGTGATCAGATGACCATTTATTCGGCACCCAGGGCAGTTTCGATTCCGATGGCTGGGTTCCAATTCTTTGAGAGTAGGCAGTGACAAATGGTCGATTGAAAGCACTAAACCGTTTCATTAACTTCTCGCCACATGGGACAACAAAAATTTGAGTATCACTGCAACATGGTATAAGCAGTTGTATGGGACCACAGGTGACCTGATCATGACCATCAAAATCTAGTGACAATATTTCGTACTGTTTCCCAGGTACGCAAACCACCATTTTACTTCATCGGTCGACCGAAACACTTGTTTTGGATGCACCTGGTTGTCGAACACACCGATTTGAGGTCCCTCTGGACAGCAGAGCACCTAATGCCCTACAGAAAGCGTGAAAGCCAATGAAAGGGAGACGATCGAGAGGTCCCCATATAGTTGCTCCTTCTCTACTCAGTTGGGCACATGCGTCCCATTCCCCATGATCTCGCTTCAAGGAATAGCGAGCATGCCAACATGTTGGGCCGTTTGACAGTATTGTCATTGGGGCAGTCGCAAGAGATGTCAATGCATTCAGAAAATCGCACAAGGATTCTGCCGAAGGAAAGAACCACTGGAATTTTCAAATAACAGTTGCATCGACTGTTGAAAGACGAGGAACGCAAATAGAAAGATTTTCAATCGCAAATACCCCAAATACTGGGAAGGCGCTGTCAGAATTTTTGTCAAGTTGTGAGTAGCCTGGGGGCTTATGAGAGGGCAAGCATGGACAATTCTGTTCTGGCACTTTAATTGAATTCCATAAAATTTTCAGCATCACATGTATCACTGTCAGAAACAAATACCGTTAGTGTCAACATGGCATCGCAGTTGGCATCGCAAAAGCCGGCGCCACCGCCGTGATTCTGAGGCATAAAGTAGTTACAATGGCACCTTTAAGCGTCAATGGCGTCCCAGCTGGCATATAGGCAGAATGTCGGTTCTACTGGTGCACGCAGCACCCCCCCACCCGCTAGCCTTATCAATTTGTTGCCAATCTTGCCAAATCAGCACGGTGCCGACATTTTTGTTTGTGGACCATGGAATGCACCGAACCAAAATTCGGATATTTGCCAGGTTCTCTATGCAAAGAGGCCACGCAGCAGGAGTGGACGTGTGTCGTTCAAACAGAGACGCAAACGTGTGCGGTCCGTTTGGATTTCGGGATCTGTAGAACTCCACCAGCCATGACGGCCAGTAGAATCTTCGGATGTGGACCGCAGTGCAAGGTGGAACGATGTAAGGGCTCCGCCTGCTAATGCATGGGGCCCCTCTGGTAACACATAGCAACCGTAGATGGCCACAGATCCACGGCCGCGACATCCAGTCCCCGTTGATGGCGCAACGGCCATTCCATATGTCGTTGGTCGCCATGGGAACCACACATGACCCTCTCCCACACTCATGGACAGCTGATCCACGTCGACAGTCTCAGCTCCACGTTTGAGAGTGCATTGAAAAATCAAGAGGTCCACCTTTGCGCGGACTGGTTCCTCACGAAACGCCGCTTGTCACAATGATGATCGCCACCAAAAAAGGCCATGACAGCAAAAGGATGTCTCAAACGGGCAGCAGAAAGCCAACCTCCCGCCAACGCATGCAAATGTCCTTGCAGAATGGCCTGAAACTGCCGTCCAGAGCTCCGCAATCAATCGCAACAGCTCCTCAAAAGTCGATGAAGTCCAAAACGTCGGTTAGGTTCACGGGTCAGGTCAGGCCCGTCCACAATGCGGCAGCACATGACACAGTAGGGCTTCTGTCCGCCTTTCCACGGCTGCGCAGCAGCGATGATTGGCCAATTTTGGTCAACCGCAAGACCGCACTCGAGGAGATGGTCGTGAACGGCAAGAAAACGGCCCAAGAACGGCTCAGAGGGGCCGCAACCTTCGAAAAGGTCGAGCGCTGTTGCCCTCAGGCCATGCATGGCGCACTGGCGCGCACAGCCAGAGGGCTCAGGCAGCCAGGCCGCGTGCCTAGACCGCCGCGCGAGGCACATGGAAACCGCACGCAGTTGTTGTTACAGCTGCCATGGTGAAGTCAACAATGCATCGTCCCCTCCGGCGCTCTTTGCACTCTCCGTACTTGCATCCACCCAAGGCATCTGACACTTCACACTATACCCACTTTCTGAGAAGGAACCTCTTTATTCCCTGGAATTTTTATCGCTCCATCGTATGGATCGGGTGTCAGGAACGGAAACGCGAACTTGTGCCGCACGTCTGGGATTCAAAAGACGCGAAAGTGCGGCCTGCGCTCCGGTTTCCGAAACCGGAACGCGAACGTGTCGATCACGTCACGTTGACGTTTCAACCCAAACGCAACGTAAACGTGAAAAATACATTCGTTTGTGCCCACCCCTGCCTGGCAGCCGAAAGGGGCACGTTCGCAACAGCCCCCGCAGCGCGGACGGCACCCGGCAGCTCTCTCCGGAAATAACAGTCGCGCACGCCCGGGCGCCGTTTGGACGGGCGTGCAGCCACTGACCACGCCTCACTCTTCCCACCCATCAACAACACACACCCCAAAGCACACCCCCCCGAGTCGCCCGAATCGCGGGGGGATTCGATGACATGCGCACATGGGGATCAAGCTCCCTTCCGCAGGGCAGGGGTGAATGGGCCGACCGCCGGGCAGCCCGCAGTCCCCGCCAGTGCGGCGCCCCATCCCGCGGAGCCCCACGCGAAGCACCGAGGCCCTCGACGGAGTGCACGCGTCAATGGCGCCGCGAGCGACGACTCCCGCCATCTGGCCTCTTGCCAGCCTGCGGCACCTCAGCCTGCAGTTTGCGGACCCGGCGCTGGAGGGCGAGTACGAGTGCCGTGTCGTGGGCTTCCTGCTGCCGCTGGACTGGCTCAACTTCTTCTCCAGGTTGATATTCTCCGCCCTGTTCGCATCCCGCCTTGCGGACAGCGGCACGCTGATGGGCGCACCTGGCCTGGCTCATGCCGCTTTCGTGGCGGCCCTCCTCGCGGAGGCATACCTCACCGCGAGGCTGGCCGCCGAATTCGCGCAAGGGGGTTCGCCGGGGGCCCCAAGCCCGAGCAGAGGCTCCAGTCCCGAGGGCAGATCAGAAGCAGACTCCAGAAGCAGCGTGCCATGGCGTCGGGCCAGGATCATTCTGGCGTCCCTGACGGCCAACGTGCTCCTGGGGCCCGTGGTGATGTCCGGGATGAGGTTGAGGGGGGCCGGCTTGGGGCGCGTGGCGATAATCCGTGCCGTGCAGTCCGGGGCGCTATTCGTAGCCCTCTCGAACGCCTTCCGGCCGCTCCTGTTCAAGTATATGCTGCCATCGGCCGTGTTGATATCGGCTTGGCTGGCGTTGATCCAGCCGGACGTGGGGTGCGCGGTCGTCGGTGAGGGCGGGGCGGAGGCGGAGGGGGTCGTTGAGCTTTGGGAGGCGTGTTCGAGGTCGGTTCGGTGGATCCTGGGAACGATGTTCGGGACCAGCCTCCAGGCGAGCGGCAGGCCGTCGCCCCTGGCGGCCTGCCGCCACACGAAGGTGATGTTTATCGCGAGCGCATTCGTCATCGCAGTGTCGTCGTCGTACGCGCTGGAGCGGCGGTCCAGGCAGCGGTTTCTGCAGGTGCGGGGAGGGGGGAGGGAGCGCTGGGCGCGCGTGGGAGCCGGCGAACGCTGCCTGTATTTCGGCCTGGGCGTTGTTTTCCTCGCGGTGCTTTGGGAAGTCTCCTGGTGGGGGATGGGAGGAGGGGGTGCGTGTCAACTGGTCCCAGCGACGGCTTTGGGCGCTCTCACCCAGGGCAAGTCGGGCGGTCTGGAGCTGGGGGTCGGGCCGCGGGATTGCCTGTTGGGCGCGCCAGATTGCGTTAGCGCCATCGGATGAAATGGATGATGCAGTGAGTTGTTTGGCCGATGTTGTGGGGGCCGGAGCCGGCAGCGCCGGACTGCTCGTCGACGGGTGCAGAATGTAGCAGAGCGGTAGGCGTCAGGTGATGAGAAATTGAAACAATGAACCCGGACATGATCTGAACTTGGTGTGTGAAACATAGAACTGGTAGAATTGAACTAGAAAACTGCGCTTCGCAGAAGTTGTATTGGGCGAATTTGTCTTTTCTGTTGTTAAATGGCAGTTCGCATAACACGCATGCGTGGCGCATGCTGCTTGTGTCCTGATGCTGGATACCCGTTCCAGCGAAGCTTGCAAAAGAAGCGCTGAAAGTTGGCCACATATCAGTTGATGCAGCTGTCTGGGCTGTCGTCGCCTTCAGTGCAAGGGCTTAGCTTGCCTTGTGTGTTGTGAGAGATGTAAGAAAACGGGGTCAACAAGCAGCTGACAACGCTGCAGACTCTGCACTATGGGGATTGCCGGAATTCTGCTTTTCGTGCACTTGCCAGATGGGGGCTGACCCTTGACCAGACTCCTAATAGTGGCTTCCCGAGATGCACAATCTCGGTGAGTACTTCAACTGCTCCTGAGGCCACCCATGTTCCAGCCGTTCATAGGAATGCAACTTTGGACAACTGTGCACCTGCAAGTTGTCCCAATCTTGGGATGTGCGTTGACAATCAGATTGGCAGCAACACAAGAACACTGTGGAACAATAGGGTGAATTGATGTGAAGCAACGCCCAACATTGTGGGCCACTCAGCGCCTGAAAAGTACAGTTGTTCAGACAATTCTCAACTTGCCACAGATCGTTATTTGTTTGCTGGGAACAACCAATGCCTGGGCGTCTGTATGCCTACTGATGGCAAGGGCTCCCTGGCTGAGTGACCTGTTGTGCATTGACGATCAGTTGAAAACATTCACGGCATAGTGCTAGTGCTGCAAAACACCCAAGAGCGTGGCAACATGTATGTGTCTCGTGGCTGTGCAGCGCCTTGGCTTGGGTGCACGGGCTGCAGGCAAGTGCAGGGCTCCAGGACCAGAACCTAAATAAGCATTAGGGGTGGGTGGTGATGGAACTGACTCAATCAAAATCTTGATAGGCAGGGTGACATCGAACAGTCCAGCATCATGTGCACTCCACAATATCATAGATCTAAAACTACCAGTGATCAAAGTACCATTCCTTATTATTTTGCTTGCTACCGATCATCATTGAACTACCAAGTAATACTATCCCCAACTTCATGGCGCCTAATTTGCAGTAATACTGCTGTCATCGCCCTGTGGCTGGTAATCTGGTCCATTTTCTTGATGTCAAGCTGTATTCTGCCTTCCCATTGATGTTCCAGGTATCTTGAAGCCTGACACTGTCTCGGACAGTGAGCGTTGCTCCAAACAGCATGACATCCCAGGTATTGTCTAACCATTGGTACGCCATGTACTTGTTTGTGCAAAAGTGGGTACAACAGCAGACAGTGCAACTGCCTTGGTGCTAATATGACACAAATGCTCACGCCCCCAACCCTCAGAATGGCCCAAGGGCACCCCATTTTCGTTTCAGCTGAGAACCAGAGCCACTTACTATTGCTGGCCCAACACCTCGCAGCCCCTACTTGTCCAAGAACCACCGCCTCAAACACCCCAACAGCACAGACACCAGTTTGAGCTGAGTCCCAACAATCCCGTTATTCCATGGCTAGCGTGCACAGAGCCCAACTAGTCCAAGCAACCCAGCACCACCCCTCAGGGTAGTGCTGCTCAAGGGGACACTTCAGCCACTCCAAGACATGGAGAACGAACGTTCTGAGCCGCAGGCACCAGAGCACAGCTGGTTGGCCAGCTCTGTGAAATGTCCCATCATCACAGCCCATCGCTTTACCCACCACGCACCCCTCACTGCTTTGAGAAACATGTTCCTTTGCTGCATGCAGGGGCTGGAAAACACACAAAGAACCCACCCCTCAGCAATGTTGACCATTCCAAACAATCCCATTTCTGCCAATAACTCATGGCCTCCTCGCACTCTGGGCAACACCCCAATGCACCTCTGCACATCCAACTCAATCCCACCTACCCATGATCCGAAGGTGTTCAGCAGCAGCCTCAGCTGTGAATGTTGCGATGATGCCCATCAGCTCTAAATGGTGTACAGGTCTGTTGCTCTCTGGGTCTGTGTCAGCCGCCTGGCATCTGAGTGTGCCAGATAGCTGATCTTCTCAGAGGGACCTATACCCAGGTGGTGCTTGAACTGGCGACCCAGGCTGAGCTGCAGTGCCTTCTTATCAGCCTTACTGGTCCACATGCACACTCGATTACCTTTATTCCTGATGTTGCATACAACCCCACACACCTGCAGCCAATGGAATCAACCAATCAAATTCGGACCCGCCTATGCATCAGCACATTTTATAGAATTTGGAGGCCCAGCGATACCACAACAGCAAACAGAGAGTTGGGCTCAACAATATGAGCAGCAAACTGCCTGCATCCCCCTGCAAGCTGCTGGGCAATGTTCCATCGATTCCTGGCAATTCTATCTGCTGTGACGAAATGAAATCAGCAGCTTGCATTTATTGGAGTTCGTGTAAGTGCTACGTTCTGTCGCCAAAAGGCTTACAAGATGGTAAAGGAGACGGTGAAAGGGAACTGCCAGTGTTGAACCAAACGTATATGCACACAGTTGGGACAGTTCTGTGACCCCTTCTTTGCAGTTTTCTCCCTATTCATAAAGAGAGGGCACAGCAATAGGACAAGGAATGTGCATTGTCACAGTATCTAAAGGGGATCTTAAGTCCACACACCTCTGAACCGTCTTCGAACATCTCCCCTACACACGCCAGCATGGCATCAAGCCAAAAGGCGTTGAGTGCCCTGTCCTCCCCAGTCTTGGGGATGGTCACAGTCCAGCGGCCGCCATCCTCGTTCATGGGGTCCTCCCATTTCGGAGTGATGCCTGCATTCAAGCCACACTTGATCTCACTCGCTGATGCCAGCAATGCAAAGTAAGGGCCTGGTCATTGGTATCCACCCATCAGGTTCCAAGTTTGGAGCATTTGAATTGTATGGGACTGTGTGCACAGCCATACTAGGCGCCCCAGGTTTCCGTTCGATGCAAGGGGCGGCCTGAGTGCACACATGCTATTTGGTCATCACCATTTCCACACATGCGGACTCCTGTGCAGTGGCCTGATTCGAAAGCCAATGCAGTCAGTTGCATCGGAGCTTTATTGGCAGCAGCAACTGCATCCAATGAAATCTTTCCCAACGCTGCGGAAAAGCAACTAGGTGGGTTGACAACGAGTGGGTGGGGCGGCACGGGATGTACAAGGATGCCAACCAGTTACACTGTCCACCGGAAGTTACGACCTTTCAGGTTCTCACCGTGCGGCCGGGGCACTTTGAAGCAAAAATGCACCTCGCGCGACCGCGCTGGACCCCTTACGATGAGCCGTCATAGTGCCCTGCGGCCAGCAGCGCGAGGGACCCGCCATCCAGCAGTGTTTCAGGCAATGCATCCGACACCGACTTCGCCACGGTGCAGACTCTTGTTCACCGTCGCGGCGCGGCGCCCCGTGCATCAAGCTCGCCGATCACTGCACACCGACGCGCGCGCCCGATCACGCTTACATCGGCCGAATGCCCGAAGGGCCGTCACGCGCCGTGGGAGGTCGTAAGCGGACGCGGGGCCCAATCTCCTGGCTCGGAGCGCATCAACGCCGGAAACTCGGCCAGCGAGCCCTCGTTCGCTAATGCACGCACAAGCGCAGATGCAGGACGCCCCCGCCCAGGTCCGCGGGTGAGCACCCGGAATGACCACCGCCATCCCTTCCACCCCCCCACCCTCCCAATCCACCTGATTACGAATCCTTTGCGCACATAAACTCGACTTTCAATCCCCGATTCTGCCCCTGACTCCGAATCAAAGAGTGCCGCAGGAGCACGCCTGCTCCCGCCGCTCTTGCCCGGCACCATCGGACTGACCCGGCCGAACCCGCGGGCGATCATCTGGCCCCGGGCGCACCGTCCTTGAAGAGGTGTATGTCCGCATTGGGCTTCAGCTGGCTGGGCTGCGCCAGGTTGTGCTGCAGGCTCCAGAAGTCCTCCACGGTGTCAAAGGTGCATATCGGCCGCAGCGTCTCGCCGAAGTTGGACACTTTCTGCTTGCCGCTGGGGTTGTCGAACCACAGTGTCCAGGGCTGCGCCAGCGGGTGGGTCTTCTGCTCCGGCCTGTGGGCCATTTGAAGGCGGGCGCGGAGCCGGGGGGAGAACCTTTGCTGCGGCTGGGGGCCCTGGGACTGCGGAGGGCGCGCGAAATATCCAACTACGGGGGGGCGTGGGGTGGGCTTGACATTGTGACGGAAGCTGGCAGGGACAGGCCTGGCTGATGTGGTGGGCACCACCCCCCTTGGGGGTCGCCTCAGGTCGCATCGTCGGCTGACAACAGCTGGCAGTCGCTTCCAGCGGGCTCGCAGCCGCCCTTCACTGACTGACGCAGGGCCGTACTTTTCTCGTTGTGCAGCGATTGGTTAACTGCACGATGCACCCGGATGGCTCGGGGCGGCCCACTCGCCATCGCGACATTTCTGCGGGCATAAAATTACTCCCCGTTCTTGTTTACTGAATTTCGGTTCTTGTTTTCGGACACCCTAAACCCCAACTACTGATCCACGCACCGGGACTGGCCTTGTCAGCGGAACAAGAACCGAAATTCAGCAAACGAGAACGGGGAGTAATATATTCTCCATTTCTGCGCTTGTGTGCACATGCAAGATTTTCGTACAGACGGGTGTGTATGTGAAACGGCAACAAACGGTGGTATAAGCGTTTCGTACGAAAGGTGAGCGTGCGTGAAACGGCAACAGACGCTGATTCGAATGCTGTCGCCAAGGTCAGTCCTTTCAGTCACTGCAGAATTTTGTGGCAGCGGGCACCGGTGTTGAGTGTCGGGACAGTGGACGAAGTTTCTGATGCCGCGAAGCAGGAATGGGCAGGTGAAATCGTGAGCTCTGCAATGGCATCAATAAATGATAGATATTCAACGAGCGTGGTATTTTCTTGCAGCCCATCATTGTTTATATGTTATCAATATATGTTATCAAACCCTTCAGCTGGGGCTTACTGATCCCTTCAACTAAATGAAGTAGCCACTGACAGTGAAGTAGTCACTCTCAATGTGGACGATGCGGACAACTCTTATAATGCACGTTTGGGGTGCCCACTGTAGATTCCCCGACACCCACATCACGGGACGGCACCCTTGTGGCTTGGCGATGCCAGGGCTCAAGATGCGGGTGGCAGCAACAAATCGCTGGGTCTGATGTTGACCAAAAGTGGCTTCTCATATCGGCGACAATCTAGGCAACTTATAAATTGAGAAGTCCAATTTCCTTTACGGCTTCAGTGAGCATTGATGCCGATGCAAAGCGTGCAGACCAGCATTATGGGAAAGTCGCTCAGCGATACACACCGATCCTCTTTCTGTGCTTACCTAGAGGACTTGCCCTTGTGCAGCCAGAAGTCCGGCCTGCATTTGGCTGGTATTCAATTCAATATTTGCCATACCGGACCGCCATTTCTGCTGCCCGCTATTTATTTTCTGGCGCCAGTATTTCCACCAGTTATCGGATCACTTTTGTCACCTATGTGGCCGGTACGCACTGCAGTACCGTACTGACCCAATTTTGTCTGGCGTTGGGCCCAAAAGAAGCTGAGACGGCCGTGGGCCCAGTGGTACGATCTTTCACACGGTCGCCTCACTCACAGTGGCCCACGCAATTTTGGGGAATCCATCTGACGAGGATGCGGGATGGTGGGATTACATAAAGAGGTGTGTCGCGGAGTAAATATGGACGATTCGTTGGACGGAAGCTGCACAATTATGCCTAACATGTATTACATACTCGCGACTATATCTCTTACAAGAGCGCCCTGAAGGGCGACCCAATCTGTGGATCTGGCTGCGACTTTGCGTGTGCGGCTTACAGAGGGGCAACGAACATAGACACGGCACACCGGATTGGTGGCTCCAGAGATGGGACATCAGAGTGCACTCGGGGCATGCGTGATGCTTCCCATGCGGGTGGCTGTGAGTCTATCCTTGGGCAGCCTTGGCCGTGTGCAGCGTGTTGGGGAGCAGAGCCGAATGATTGGCTCGCAAAGGGTGGAACAAACGTGAGCTAGATTTTGGTTGCGCCATGGCAGCTGTACTAGCCAACAGTGCATCAGCTAACCAAGGCTGCATCTCAGGGGTCGTTCTCAAGCGGATGGAGCGGCGCTCTTATGGGCAAAATTTTCACCCACCCTCTGCAAGCTTGCTGTGCAAGTTTTACAGAGCAAGCGACTCGCCTGCTTTTTTACATGCACGTGGTGCACTGCCACGTGCAAAAGCAACTGGGTTCAGCAGGACGATGGCCAAGTTCCAGCTCCAAAGATGGTGGGAGGTGTCATTTTTGGCAGAAAATTGGCCAAACTGCGACGCAGTTTACTGCATGTCCCTACACCATGCCGAGCCCGGCGAGATGTTTGCAACACGTCTACACTGCAAATGAAGGCCGGATTTCGACAATGAGCAAGCCAAAGCACCTGTAAACCGCGGGGCGCAGAGGCATGCACAAAATGCAAAACACTTTGCGTTGTTTGAGCACACGCACTGGTCAAACAAAATGTATTGGTCATACCATGCCAATCATGATGTGCGCGGTGCTCAAGTGCGCGTCCGCATGCATGCATCCATTTGCTTGATTGAGCATATGCTTGATACGACAAATTCAGGATGCAACTACTGTCTTTAGTGCCAAGCCAAGATCTTGGCTACTCTAGAGAAGCCCTATGAAATATCGGGATCTTTGCAAGTGCCCAACTATCAGCATTTTGAGGGCCGTTATCCACCACGAACACTATCACGAAATTCAGTCATCATGCCAACCAATCAATCGATGTTCTCTACTGATTATCATAATTCTGCGATCCCGGCCATTTTCTAAATCACAGAATGTTGATATCATCACAAGTTTGGCCCTATTATGGTGAACACCATAACATGAGCAGCAAATCACAGCAATTGTATGAAATTTCAAAGGGATAGCCGCTCGTGGACTTCCGCAGCAGAATTGCCAAGTAGTGACGTTATTGGTACTACCAAAAGCTGCAACTTCAGACCACCTCAGGAATGCATTTTCAAGTCGGTTAAAAATTGGGAGCTATGGAATAATGCACTTTCGCGTCATCTACTTCTCTTGCACTATATACTCAAGCAGGCCACTATATTCGAATATGTGATAAACTCTTCATATCACAATTCTGTGCCACTTCCCCACTCATGGTGCCAATTTTGCGTTGAACCTCCAAATCGATACAGACGGGTCCCTAAAGACTGGAGTAGATATCGGTCACGGGTTATAAGCTGATTGATTTCACTGATAGAACAAGGAAACCAATTGGCCAGAAAGCAGAAATAGGTCAAGCATAGATAATGGGAACAAAGGATATGAGCCATTACTCAGATGTTAGGATTACGGGTCAGGATTGGGCTGCAGCAAGTAAGGCAAAGCCCAGCAGCGAAAGCGAAGTTCAAAACGGTAGTTTTGTGACGACAGAACATTCAAGATTCATGGAAAGGGCGCACGAATCCATATGGTAAGTTTGGCAGTAGGTCCCGTTGGAATGCGAGTGGATTTATAGGGAGCAAATCTGCAAGTTCCCTTGTGCACGAACATTGGCAGTGAATGATGTGATGCACACTCTTCGCCACTTTTGGATCCTTCCAACCATGGGAAACAACTCACTCAAATCAGTTGCGAAACCCCGGATGGCTATTAGCTTAAAGCCTTCATATGTCACATGCCTTATGGGTAAAGGACCGGCCGAGTCGGGACCCAATAAACAAGGCACCCAGCGCGGAATGCACGCCAGACTCCTCTTTTTTCACCATGTGGCGAGCGCCTGCGATCAAATCTACTATCCCCGAATTCGTGTTTCGCATGACGCAGTCCGACTTGGAGGCCGTTCAGACGAGGCACTGGACGTATGACTAGCGACCAACACCGGACCAAGTGCTTCGCGTTCGGACTCGAAGTTTGACTCTCGCGTTTTCGAAATTGCTCCCTCTTGCCCCTTTTGAACTTGCAATTTGACCTTTGTTCCGTCAGAATCTATCCCTCTTGGCTTGTGATTGTGACCGGGGTACTCAAAATGCCGTCTTTTACCCAATGCCGGCTGGATAACCGCAAAGATCGTTGTGGTACCATGGTCATTTCCCAACACTTGTGTATTCAGGCCTTTGCTTTGCATGATCGTTATCGCGCTCACCGTTCACGCTCGGTCCGCGCTCGGTCGCTGCCAGGCACGGAAGCAAGACTGTAACCAGATGCATTACAGGATGAGTGTGTCAGTTAAGTAACTGTACTCATGGAACCATTCGTTCCATTCCCCTTCCATTTCCCCACATACATGTCACCGTAACACCATCACCACATTCGCTGTGTCATACTTCACCGTGTATCTCTATGCGTCACACAATCACTTATCACAATTGCTCTTTCAGCCTCACAATCGTGCAAAGCAGGTGTCTTGGCAACAAAAACCCACGAAAACACGTTGACTTCAGTGGTGCGCCCATTATGTCACATGGAATCAACCGCCCAGCAAAAACAATGCACGGTAACATGGATATCTATCGTGACAGTGGGCCAAAACGTTCTTGCCCTCATGAATACCCCATAAATACGGCTGAAGCGTGCGCACCCTGGACAGAACCACTCTATATCATGTCGACATCCTCATCCTCAGACACATCCTATTCGATATCCATAACAAGTATTGGCAAGGATGTGCATTCTCGTCCCGGGCACAATTTCCGTTCGGTTGACCGTCGACAATGACGAAGGCAGGCAGGATCGAGGGGTGGCGATCCCTGAACGGGAATTGTACGCTCGAGTCCACGGCAACGGTTTACAGCCGAGGCAAAGGACAACAGACGCTCTGTCCTTTGTATTCGGTCCGTTCATCAACATCCTTAATGCAATTCCTAGTGCTTCTTCATCTTTTCACGCATTCAGTTAATAATAACACTCAATCAGTTCTAGCCGTAACAACAAGACGCACAATGACCGTCCAGGCGACCGTTTGATGGCCATTTCCCGGCCAGAATGGCCATTATTCGCGACACCTACGTAAACATGACCATCCCCAGTAATCCCCCAGGCGTTGTAGATATTCCCCCACCGATTCAAAGGGCGACCCACCCCCGTCTTCCGCACCCCGCCCCCAGGATGGCGGACGACCCCCAGCTCTACTCCATCGCCTTCTCCCCCTGGTCCAACAAGGTCAAATGGACGCTGAACGCCTGCGGCGTGGGCTACACGCGCGTGGAGTACACGCCAGGGCTCTCGGAACTCAACCTGCGCCTCAAGCTGCGGAATTACTGCGGGCGCGTGACCGTGCCCGTCATGGCCGTACCTCGTGGCCCCGTCCTGGTGGAGTCGTTTGACATCGCCGTGTGGACGGACGATCACAGGCAAGCGGCCAAATCACCGCGCCGCGCTTTAGCCCCGGAGATCCGAGATTTGGAAAGCTTCTGTCGTGGGCACCTTCACGGGAGTTAGCGCCTCTCGTCAGTCGGTCGCGGCGTGCAAAGATGGCGCGCTTGCCGCGCGGGACGTGGGCGGCGGCGAGCTCAAAGCGGGCCGCAATTGCGGCTGGGCGTGTGCGCCCTGAGTTTTGTTTTGGGTTTTCCGCCGTGTTGCTTTCCCAGGGAGAAGGGCAGGCCCAGCCTGTTTCCCGCGGGAATAGAGGCCGCGCAGGAGTGGAACGACCTCAGCGACCGCATCCTCTACGTGGGCCGCGTGCAGTCCCTGCGCAAGATCATCAGCAACACGGGCGCGGTGTGGGCGAGCATGCCCGGCCAGATGCGGCGCCTGGGGCCCC